GCAGCGGCAGCCTCGGGTCGTGGGCGGGAGCAGACTGAGCTGGCTGTGCAGGGGCAGCAGCAGCAGGGGCAGCAGCAGCAGGCTGACCAGCCGCCTGAGGAAGTCAGGTCTAATGGCAGCAACGCAGTGGACAGGCCTGGACCTCTGTTGTGGGACGGAGTCGACCTCTCCCCCTTGGCCGGCGCCACCGCCGGCCTGCTGGGCCCATCTGAGGCGCCCCCGCTCCCGAGCGCCGAGCCGCCGCGCGCGGCGCTTGCCGCCGCGCCGCCGCCGGCGCAGGGGCGGAGGGCGGACGGCCTCGGGCGCGCGGCGGGCGCCGGCAAGCGGGCCCGGGGGGGCGCTGACTCGGACAGCGACTACACCGGCGACGGGCGGCCGCCAAAGGCCGCCAAGCGCAAGGCACGCGCCGCGGCACCCTCCGTCAAGCTCGAGCCGCCCGCCTCGCCGCCGCCGGTCGACGCCTGCCTCGAGCAGCAGCAGCAGCAGCAGCAGCAGCAGCAGCAGCAGCAGCAGCAGCAGCAGGCCGCCTGCGGCTTGCTGGCGCCGGCGGGCGCCCCCGAGGGCCTGCAGGGGTTCCCCATGGTCATGCCCCTCAATGGCGCGCCCATGCTGTCGCCAGATCAGCACCACGCCGCACTCGCCCTGGCGCTCGCCCAAGGCGCGCTGAAGCTCGTCCCGCTGCGCCCAGTCGGGCCCGCCGGCGGCGGCGGCGCGGCACAGGCGCAGGCGCAGGCGCAGCAGCAGGCGGGGGGGCACCTGCCCGTGCTCATCCAGCTGCCGCTGGCCGCGGCGGCCGGCGCGCCGTCGCCGCTGCCATGCATCAACGCTGCTTCTGCAGTGGCGGCGGGGGCAGCACCCGACGGCCCACACACAGCTGACTGCAGCGACCAGCAGCAGCAGCAGCAGCAGCGGCAGCAGCAGCAGCAGCAGCAGCCTCAGAGGGACATGGCTGCGGCGGCTGCAGAGGCAGCAGAGGAGGAGGCGGACGCTGCGGCGCTCGCCGCGGCGGCGGCCGCGCAGGAGGCCGAGGCGGTGGCGCAGGAAGCGGCCGCCGCAGCCGTCGCTGCCGCCGCTGAAGAGGCCGCGCAGGCGCGCGCGAGCGCGGCCGCCGAGGCGTCCGCCGCGGCCGCCGCGGCGGAGTCCGCGGTGGCGGCTGCTGCCGCGGCGGCGTCTGCTGCGGCCGCGGCAACCGCCGCGCCGCCGGCGCCCGAGTTTTGCTCGATGCCCCTGCCCAAGCCGTCCCCTCTGCTGTGCTCTGGCCTGCCAGTCATGCAGCCCTCCCCGATGCTCACCAGCCTCGGCGCGGGCGCCGCCGCGGCGCCGCTGGGGATGATGGAGCCACCGCCGCTCTACCTGCAGGCCCCGCACGAGCACATGGGGACCCCGCGCCGCGCCATGAACGGCCACGCGCACGCGCATGGGCTGTCGCCCGTGCACAGCAGCGGCGGCGGCAGCGGGCCGCGCGCGAACGGCGGAGGGCTTGCAGCGGGGGATGTCGAGATGTTGGACTTTGGGGGGTTTGACGGGCACGGGGATGCGGTGGCGGGGTTGGGGCAGCGCGCGGCCAGCAGGGAGCTTGACTTTGACTTGGAGCCCCTTGTCGATGATTTGTGGTGACCTACCGTGGCTCTATATACACGCCCACGTCTGAGGCTGCGCCCGACAGCGGCTCTGACTAAGGCCATGACTAAGGCCCTGACGAATGCGACGCTATCCGCTGACAGGGTTCTCGAAACGGTTTCTGGTTTTTGGTGCTTGCGGGCGAAGTTCGGGGTCTGTTGGTGGGGCCAGTGGCGGCGACAGGTCAGATCCTGTCTCGACGTTCACTGCGCGAAATCAGTTTGGGCGCGCCGGCAGCGCGCGGCGACTCGGTATACGCCTTTCGTTTTTCGCTTTGACCAGCCGTGTGGACGTGCGGGCACCCGACGAAGCAAGCACCGCCATCCTGCCTGCCGCCCGTCCGGCCGGCATCCGCGCCAGTGCGCCTTCTTGAAGATTTAGGGTCAGGGTTCTGGTTTCGTGTGGTGTTCGTGCTGCATCGGATCCGCGTGCAGGTTTCAAGGTAAAAGTCGCGCACCGCAGCGTGTGTTTTGTCGGCACGCCTGCACGGCCCCAGCCCGCCATCCGTGAGTGCCACGCCCTTTCCAGGCCCCGCAGGCGCCTTCCACACACCCCTCATACATCCCAATGTCCCTCGCATGCGTATGCGTTCGTTTGTGTGCGCGCCAGTATGTGATGCGAGTGCGCCGGTGTTGCGATGCCCGTGTTACGCGTTTGCGCGTCGGTAGTAGCGGCGGCTGCCGCAGCTGGCCACTGCCTCTGCCTGCAGGATGCACGGCACGCCGAGGCGCCCGCCGGCTCATCACCCTTTGTAAGGAAGGCGTCCCCTGCGTATATCGGTGTATGCCTGCCTGCCCGGCGCCTCGCCATGTGCGGGGTGGTCAGGAAGCGACATCATTGGCAGTCGGGGCAGCCGGCGGCATGGGCGCATTCTGGGCAGTTGGGTTACTCGAAGGGGTCGCTGCTCAGACGTCGTGGCCGCCGCCGCCCCGTGCCCCGCTGGTGCATCTGCTTGCTCATCACACAGTGCTTGTGCCCCGTGCGGCCGAGGGCTCCGGTGGCGCTGGCGTGGTGCCGTGCACCTCAAGCCGCGCTCCCGGCGGGTGGCGA